TTCCTAGCTATTTGAGCACCTAGGAAAGGAAGAAAACCCTCAAAGTCCTCTCTCTCACTGTTGCACACCACCTTATCAAACTGGAGCTGATATTCAGCAAAGCCCACATCAGTGTCCTCCCTTAGTAGATGAACCACAGATAGTTTCAGAATCTGAAGTGACACTGGGTGGTAAAACATGAAGGAGGCAGCGGACCCAGGAGGAAAGTCTTCATTCATTCAAACATGTCTGTACACATACAGGTCTGGGCCCTGTGGGAAAGGCAAAGATAAATAAAGCAAGCCCTGCACCAGGCCGGAAGAGAAAGGCTGGGAATGAGGGCATGCAAAAAGGAGGGAAGGATGCTGGAGGAGGAAGGCTAAGAAATAACTTCCCCTAACTCATCTGTTCCTAGGACCAGCTCTACTGAAGTTTTATGGGTTGGAGTAGAATGGAATGTAGGCCCCCAAATCACTCCACCCCCGTAAACTTACCCACCCTTCTCAGGCCCACAAGGCCTCTGGTCTGCACTCCCCGGTCCAGAGCTCTGCCCTGGCACCAGGGAATGCTCTCTGCTCAAAGCCCTCAGGGGTTCTACACTGGCACCACTCCAGGCCCAATCTGCTCAGCCTTCTTCCTTTCTAGCTGTCTCAGTTGTTTTACCAACTCCGTAACCACGAGGAATCGCTTATCCATGATCTTTTTCTAGCCTGGTGGAGATGGCAGGAAGTGGGGCCCCAAGGAGGCTGGAAGTAGGGGAACTTTTGAAGGGGAGATTAGGAAAGGGGCCAAACAGTGTGAAAGAGGTGGCATAGCCCAGAATCCAGGAAGAAAGGTGGAGGCAAGCAATGGGAGAAGACAGGGTGCCCAGTTAATAGAGCTTGCTTGGAGACTGGGCAACAGGAAATGGATTCTTTTTTTTTTTTTTTTGAGATGGAGTCTCGCTCTGTTGCCCAGGCTGCAGTGCAGTGGCACGATCTTGGCTTACTACAACCTCTGCCTCCCGGGCTCAATAGATTCTCCTCCCTCAGCCTTCCCAGTAGCTGGGACTATGGGGTGCGCCACCACACCTGACTAATTTTTGTGTCTTTAGTAGAGATGGGGCTTCTCCATGTTGGCCAGGCTGGTCTCAAACTCCTGACCTCAGCAGATCCACCTGCCTCAGCCTCCTAAAGTGCTGGGATTATAGGCATTATTTAGTTACCGCACCCATGCAGGAAATGGATTTTGAAGTAAACATGTGTGCCAAGGGAGTACTGGGCATGGAAGAGGCCCTGATTGGTTAAAGGAGAGTCTGGGAAGGGGTTGATGCCTTACCTGTGAAAATATGGGTTGGGGCCGGGCGTGGTGGCTCACACCTGTAATCTCAGCACTTTGGGAGGCCGAGTGAGGCAGATCACTTGAGGCCAGGAGTTCGAGACCAGCCTGGCCAACATGGCAAACCCTGGTCTCTACTAAAAATACAAAAATTAGCCAGGTGTGGATTATGCCTGTAACCCCAGCTACTGGGGAGGCTGAGACATGAGAATCGCTTGAACCTGGGAAGCGGAGGTTGCAGTGAGCCGAGATTGCACTACTGCACTCTAGCCTGGGCGACAGAGGGAGATTCTGTCTCAAAAAATTTAAAAAATAAAATATGAGGGTCAGTGCCAGGTCCAGATAAAGAACCGCCACTCAGGAGCCCTTTCAACAAGGAGAGAAGCACCAGGCCCCCAACCTCTCTCAAAACACCCCTACTGGGTTCCTCTACCACCCTCCCCCAGTTCTCACCCCCTCACCCACATTTTCCCTCACCCCAGAGATAGAATTAAAAGGGAGCTGCTTTAGACTTCACTGTGGGAGATCTCCTAAGAGAGTCATTCAGCATTCACAGCATATGTTAACTGAATACTCATTGATTATTGTGATGGAGGAAATAAAGATGAAAAAGATACAGTCCCTGCCTACAGAGTTTCCTGCTCTCTGGAATGGAGATATTCAAAAAGAAGGGCTTCCAAGACCCAAGGAAGGTATCTCCTCCTTTCCTGATGTCAATCTTCAAATAGGCGAGACAGGACTGCCAGGGATGGAACAGGTGGGGCCCATGTAAAGACTGAGGGCTGAATGGCCAAGCAATCCACTCAAGAAGGCGCTGGTCTCCAGGGAAGGGGGCACTGCCTTTTCTCGATAGTGCTGCTAATCCTCTAGACCCTAAACGAGATGAAAGAAAGACTGGGGTAGAGGCGAGAGAGGGGAGGAGAAGGGTAGAAGCAAGACCGTGGGAAGTAGAGTCTATACTAACTATGTACTAAGACAGAACATTGGAATCAGAGCAGAGACAGTTGCTCCAGGTCTCAGAAAGAATTGCCTACTGAGAATAACCTAACATCACATCGACCTTGCTCTAGTGCTTCTCTCTTAGACATGGGCCAAGGGCATTAACTGAGCACCTCCTTTGTGCCTGACATGATGCTGGGTAGTGGATGAGTGGCCCCAGTCAAGACTACAGAGCCAGAATGCCTAGAGGCAAAGGAGGCAGGCAGGAATTAGAAGGATGGCTGTCATGACAGAACAGTGGGGGGGCGGGGGGCATCTGGGTGTTTGATTTATGTCTGTTCCAACAGCCCTATGCTGTCTCCCCTGCCTCAAGCTGGGATTTTCCCAGATGTGCATCTGCTTGAGGGAAAGAAGGGCGGCACAGGGGGAGGGTCTCCATGTCCTTGCATCTGGTCCCAAGAGCAATCCCTTCTCTTTTCTCCCTCTGCTGTTCACTGCCTGCTGGGTAGAGGGTGGGAGGCTGGGGGAAATGCCAGGGCCCCCAGATAATCATCAGGTAATGAAAAGAACTGGCCCAGGGCTGGGGGGAATGCAGAGGATGCCGAGTTGGGGCTGTAAATCTCCCAGGGAGAAGGGGGTACGGAATGGGGGGCCCTGACAGTTGGACCCCATCCAGGTGATTTCACATGAAGTATCTGAACCTTGAGGGGTGGGAGGGGGAAGATGAGAAGCAGGTAGGGGTGTAGGGGTGTGAGCCAGAGAGAGGAGAAGACGCTGAAGGAGACAGGGAGAAGAGAAGCAAAAAGGAGAGAGATGGAAGGGAGGGCAGGAGATGGGAACAGCGATGGGGAGGCAGCCAAACGAGACAGATGGGAGGGGAGGTGGACGGAGAGACTAAAAGGCACACACAGTGGAACTCATAAAGACGTGATGGTATGAGACACCCTCCGAGGCTGAGGAAGGGAAGCGGGGAGGGAGAGAGAAGGGCTGATGGCAGACACAGTCCTAGAAAAACTCAGACCAAAAAATATGTGGAGTCAAGGCAATAGACAGAACGGCCAACAGACAGACGGACAGACAGGCCCGACAGAGCTGAGGGTGACAGAGGCAAAGAAGGAACAAAGAAAACAGGGTTGCAGTGAAGAGAGGGGAGGGAGCGAGACAAAGAGAGAGAAGGAGGCGAGTGTAGAGCAGGCGGAGGGAGTGAGGCCAGGGAGGGGGATATATATTTTCTTTATGATCCTCTTCAATCTCACTCAGCTCGCTGCTGAGCCGCTTCCCCTCTCAGGTGCTGCTCGGTGGCGGATGTGCCCAGAAAGCTGATAGGGCGAGGCTGCTGCCATAGCCCCCGGGCCCTCTCCCAGCGCCAACCTGGGGGGCTCGCGGAGACCCCTACAGGGACACAACAACCCAACCTGCCTTCCTGTCCCCAAAATGCTGCAGTCCAGAGAGGCCCAAAGCCCAGCTCTAAATTTTTCAGAGCTAATGCAGCCTGGCACAACCAGTACACGGGGAAGTGGCCCAGGGGAGGAAGAGGAACAGAGGCTGGCAGGCAAGGGAGGCAAGTTCTGGGGACAGTGCTGGGGACGGTCTTTGGTCAGAGGTCACGAGGAGGGGAGTAAAGAGAGGTACGTACTGAGGAGAGGTCTGCATTTGAGAAGGAAATCAGCAGCACGCAAAGGATAAGGGAGATAAGACACCAGTGACTGCCCATTACTTTGGGGTCAACAATTTAGACACCTGAGAAGCCATGGCCGATGCCTTCTAGCAACTCTCTACTAGCAGACCTCACAAATATATACATAAAACCCAAGAAAGGAGAAACCGAGGCACAGAGATCCTGAGACCAGTGTACGTGCATGAAGCTAGGTTTTCAGGGACCAGAGATGGAGTAACCAGACAAGTTTCTGAAGACCTAAGACTCAACATGGCAACCTGGACCTGCCTTTCTTCCCAAGGCTTTCCTGAGGCTGAGGAAGTAGCTGAGCTCTGCAAAGACCACCTCCCCAGCTCTTCTGAGGGCCGGGGAAGACCCTAAGAACATTAACTCAGGTCATCTAAAGGGAGATTATCCCCACTCCTTCCCTGCCGGCCTCATGCAAGGTCCAAGAGGCCAGGTGTCCCAGGACAGACAGAGCCTAAGGAGCCTGCTTAGCAGCAGGAGGGACTATGTAACAGCTTATTCGGGCCTCCCAGATGTAAACTCAAAGGCTGCGGGGAGACAACTGAGATGCCTGCCTCTTCCTACACCCATCCTAAACGAGTGTGGGTAGAAGGCCAGGGGACAGGATCAGAAGGACTTCACAACCCAGGAGAAAAGGAGGACCCAACCCCCAGCTCCCAGGCAACAACTAGGTTGGTCAGTAGCTGAAAGACCCCCAAGGCAGCTGTTGATCCGCTCCTCGCCTGAGTCTCTCAAGCCGGCAACCGAGAAGCTCTGCAATACCAGAGGGGGCCGCTAGGGAGTGCTCGCCCACAGCCAGGCTCCAGAAAGGCAGGAGCCGGCCGAGCCGCGAAGACCGGAAGGCAATCGATCAGAGTCGCCCTGGCAACCGGGCTGAGCCCGAGACAGACAGCACGTCGATAATGAAATCATCGTTAAATGACTTCAAGCCCTAATTAATAATCCAGGCCAACCGAGGCCATGCCTGACTGGGGTCGGAGGAGGGGGTGTCATTGTTGGGGGAGCACTGGAAGCTTCTGGACAATTAATCAATTAATCCACTCACTCAATAATTGGCTCCTTTGTCCTCTGCCATGCCCCCTCCCCCACATCATCCACCTCTGACTGTGGAGAGGGGAAGAAGAGATGTGGGGCTAATAGTTTCCAAGGGCCACAACGCCTCCCTCTCCCCTCCTTTTCTTTCCACACATGTGTTTCCTGAGCCAGTTCACAAAAGCTTCCCTAAGTCAGGACTTGCCTGCGCTCTTCCACAGGACCTACCAAAAAGTGAATATTTCAGGACCTGGAGTCCCCCGATATCCAGGTACCTCCCCAGATCTCCTGCTCCCTACCTCACTTCCTCCCATCGAATCCCCCCTCCCCAATACACACACACACACACACACACACACCACACTCACTCACTCACTGACCCACAGCCCACTCTGAGGAAGGAGCACTAAACAGTGAGCCATGAGAGTTAGCTAAATCCCAGCCACACTTACATACATAACTTTGGCCAGGTAACCTGCCCTCTCCAAGGCCTCCATTTCCTCATCTGAAACCTGAAGCAGGCCAGGTGTGGTGGCTCATGTCTGTGAGCCCAGCACTTTGGGAGGCAGAGGCAGGAGGATCGCTTGAGCCCAGGAGTTCAAGACCCAGCCTGGGCAACATAGCAAGACCCTTATCTCCATTTAAAATAAAATAAAACCTCAAGGGATCCAACTGATTTCCAAGGTTCCTTCCTGTGGCATCATCTATTATTACAATAATTGGACCTGAATCATTTCCCACACCTCTCTACTCCGTTCCCTTACTTTGGGGAGGTAAGAGGGAGATTGTAAGGAGTGCCAGGTTCTCATTTATCAGGTGTTCCATCCCCAAAGAACTCACCACAACAGCCAGAAAAGGGGATGATAGAAGAGTGTATGGAGGGAAGGCTCCCCAGCCCATCCCCCTTCTGGCCCTTGCCACCCACCTTGCTTATTGCTCTCCACAACCCCTAGCAGGAAATGAAAAGGGTACAGGAAATTGCACTTTAAATCCCCTAGCTCCTGGCTCCCTCCACCAAGCCAGGGAGCTGGGGGCAGGCTAACTTCACAGACCAGGCTTTCTCTGTTTGTAATTAGTAAGACACTCAGGAGAGGGGGGGACGGGTCCCTGCAAAGAGAGCCTCTTTCTCCAAAACAGCTAATCAGGTTATCCAAAAAAGTGATGCTGGGGAAAGCATATGGGGTTTGGAGAGAAGGAAGAACCAGAGGATCCTGGGCAAGATGAAGACGGCCCGTGAGACGTGGACTGGATAGGTAGGTGGTAGCCTCATTTCTGAGAGAGGTGATTTATAGCGCCACCTGTAGCCAGGAGAAATGGTGTGCAGCCAAATGTGGGGATGGGCAGGGAGCCTTCGGAGGGTAGCCTGCGGTGGGGAGCCTCCAGAGACGCCCTGCAGAGAGGACCAGGGAGCAAAACCCACCAGGTCCATCCCACCCCTGTGGACACTTAGGAGGTTAATAAAGTTCAGAATGTTCAGGGCTTACGTGTAATTAAAGCCAGGAGCTGGGTCATTCCATTTCTTCAAGTTCCACCCTTTGCCTTCCCCTCCCCGACAGACATGCATCTTTTACAAAAGACACTGAACCAGATCCTGGACTTTAGATAATACCTCCACTAAAGAGGTGGGCTTACTGTCAGCAAAAGAAATGTAGAATAGACTTTAGAAAGGATTTCCTTCGAGTTAGGGTGGGTAAATTCTAGAGCAAATGAAATGATATAGAATCTTCAATAACACATTTCCTAACACACATACACACACACACACCCCAAACAAGAAAAGGAAGGCCCTCCCTAGACTGCTATTCTTTTTCTGGGGGATTGGCTTCCAGGTGATGTGTCCCACATCATGGGGAAAACAGTCTCTCTAAACATTAAGAAAATAACTCCCATCCCACCCTTCTCTCCAGGAGGAAGATGATTGTTTCCCTCCCCAGAGCTTGGCAAAGGCCCTGCTCAGGGATCGCACAGCCTGTGGGTAAGAGCCCTGCACACGGCCTGGTGGCTTCTCCCCTAAGTCCTCCCTCTGCTGTTTTACCTTAACCTTTCTGCACCTCAGAGTCCATTCTTTGGACCCAGTCTATGAACCCAGTCCTGGAGAGAGGGAAGAAGTGCAAAGGCAGGAGAGGACAGGGTCCTGCTCTCTGGGATGTGATAAGGAAGACACAGAAGACAAGAAACCGAAGCGGAGAAAAAAAATGTGGCATAAAGACAGGAGAGTGTAAGCAGACCCTTTTAATGCTGAAACATAGGCAAAGGAGAGTGAAAGTATGAAGCAAGATCAGAGGGAAGCAAATGCCGCCAGCTTGGAGAGAGTGCAGAGGGGTTGGGAGGAGGAAGGCCGAAGTCCTTAGCAGGTGTGAAGAGAATAAGCTGGGAAGATAACAAAGAGGAGGAGGATTTTTAAAGCCTAATAAACTTAGACTCAACTGTACACATTTCTTTTTGCATAAATCTCATTTTATTCTCAATAACAAGCCACAGGAGCAAGTATTAGTGTTGTCATTTTATAGATAATAAAATTAAGACACAGAGAGGTTAAGTAACTTGCCTCAGGTCACAGAGCTGGTAAGTAGCCAGGAATCAAGTTGCTGCATTCTGATGCCAACTCCTGTAGGTTCTGCCCTGGGAAGCAGCCAGTTTCAGGGCCCGATTGCCTAGGGAGACATTAATCCCTATCTCCCCTACCCAAAGCAAAAGACCTGCTTCCTCGTGCCCTTTTGGGCCTGTTCTGCTCAGGAGATCTCGATCAAGCTGGTTATCTCGTGTAGGCCTCATCTGTGAAATGGGGAAGTACTATTGAACCCTTTGAAGGCAAGAGTCTAGACTAGATAATTTATTGAAGATTTTTTAGCTTTAAAATGAATAATTCAATCCATGAAAGGAGTGAATAAAGGAGGCAGCCAGGAAAGAGGCCTCAAGCTTTCCATCCTCCCATTACCCATCCCCCCCCCCACCTACAGCTCCTCTCTCTCTATCTGGGAACCTCCGGAGGCCTCTTCCCCACATTTCATAGCCTGAGCAGCTGTCTCCACCTAGCCGTGGTTCACTAGCCCATGAAATCCAGACTCATTCATCCTCACACCCGCGAGGACATATCAGAGCCCAGGAAGTCAGTCTGGCTTCCTAGCATCTTGCCTACCCAGCCCAGGGTCACCATAGAGCTACAACAGTGCGATATTTTACGTTGCTGTCCGATACCTCTATCACCACTGCCACCCTATCACAGGTGTCTTAAGGACACCTCAGCCCAGGCTCTCTGCTGCAGCCCAGCAAACCTGTCCCCCAAAGCCCTGCTTCCTCCACCCCTCTGCCTCCTCAATACACATTCCCCAACACACACACACACACACACACACACACACACACACACGCACCTATGCATTCCTTCCCCATCTGCCTCTGAGGTTCACATTGGCCACCCCTTACCCTAAGATAGTGTACTTCACTGAGCTCTAACTTGCTAGTCTTCTTCTTTCTGTTTTGCTGCTCCCTGCTAACCAAATGAATACTATTCTCCCTATCCTCTAGGAACCCTCCTAGAATTCCTTCAGATCTCCCTCCATCCTTTCTTATTTGGTCATTCCCAGTTTCCCCAGTGCCAGAGCCACAGGGCTTGGTCCAGTTGCTCCTGACCAACTCAACTCATAAGCCTTTGTTGAGTGCGTGCTCAGAGCTCCATGCCTCTTGGTTGATCTTGAGGACCACCCTCATCTTATCATTAGCCTAGGAGCTCCCGCAGGGCAGAACCTGTGCCCTCCCTCTGGATCCTCCCTCGGTACCCAGCACCATGGGCAGCACACACAGGGGAGAGTGTGCAACTCACCAATTCTGCTCCTTACGAGTCAGGGGGGAACTAGGGAAATAAACTCAAGCAGGGATAGAATTCCAGGCCCACACTTTTCACCTTTCCTTTAGAAATCTCACAGGACGTGTGTGTGTGTGTGTGTGTGTGTGTGTGTGTGTGTGTGTGTGTGATGTATAGAGGAGAGAGGAGTATGACAGTATGAGGTTCTAGGAGTCTGGTTCCTGCCTTGATGCAGGAGTCCTGGGGCAGCTGGACTCCCAAATCCACTGCAGCTGCCAAGAGGACACAGCCCTGTGACGCTGCAGCCCTGAGAGAGCAGCCATGCTGCCGAGGCAGGACTCATGCAGGTGGGAGACCCTGTAGGTTTGAATTTGCTGAGTCCAGTGTGCCAATCCACATGGCTTCCTTTGTTCTGTGGTTCAGTCCAATCCCGGTCCTCCCCCTTGTACCCACTCAGCAGTACTTCCTGCAATCAGAGCCTACGGCATGTACTAGGTTGAACCCTTTGGAATTTCTGACATTCAGTTGTTTGGGGCCTATGAAATCTGTAACTGTGGTTCTTCTCTCCTCAAAACATTTAAAGAAAACTCCAGGGTAGTGAGAGGAGCAGATTGCGGCAAGGCAGAAGGGAAGAGCTAATATTGACTGATTATGTCCCATGAACCAAGCATGTTACATTATCACAGTGCTAATTCTCACAACATGAAGCCCCTAAAATGATTTCCCACATTTTACAGCTGAGCAAGCTCAGGTTAAGAGGCTACATGCTGAGGCCCAGGAATGGGATTCAAACTCAGCCACAGCCCCAGAGCCACCTACAACCAGGTACAACCAGGGAACTCCTGGCAGAGACAGGTGGCGGGTGGTGTTGGGTGTGGGGAGGGGGCAGCAAGCAGTGTCTACAGCTTCGCAAAAAGGGAGAGAAGGAAACAAGACAAGCTCGACTTTGCCGGCTGGGTCGGTCCAGAAGAACCCCAATTAGTAGGGTGCCAGAGCAATGCTCAGGGTCGCACCTGAAACCCAAAGGTAGAAGGCCCAAAGGAAGAACCCAGGCAGGAAGAAACACAGGACGGATAGGGGCCTGGAAGGCAGCGGCGGCAGCGGGCAGAGAGGAGCCTGGCTGCAGAGTCTACCACGCTCGGCATCCGAGGCAGGCGGCACCGGGCGGAGAAAGTCCAGGAGAAAGTATGACAACCGTGGGAAGCGGCGGAGGGAGAGACCCTGTGGAAGAGAGACGGAGACTGCGGCAAAAAGTGGAAAAGAGGGTTACAGGCACCGAGGGGGAGCTGGAGTCAGCCGCAAGGAGAGGGAGCGGGGGAGGAAAAGAGGCGGGAGAGAGACCCTAAAAAGCAAGCTAGACGCTCCAGCCGGCCGCTCTGGTGTGGGGAGGGAGCTTCATCTCAAGGACACTGAAAAAGGCAGATGGATGGTGCAGAAATGCGGGCGCCGCGGCCCCGGGCGGGCGGGCACCGGCCCGCTGCCCTCGCCCCTGGACGCGCCGGCTCCGCACCCTGCAGGCCCGGAGCGCACCCCCACCCCAACCCCACTCCCGGCCCCAGCCCGTGCTCGGCGCTGGCATGAAATTGGCTGCAGCCGTAATGAGTCCGCGCCGCGCGGAGGAGGCTGAGGGCCCGCCAGGGAGCCCTGCGCGCCTCGTTTAGCTTGTTTATTGTTCAGGCCTAATTAAAACGTTCCACCGCGCTGCGTTTACATCCGCCCCCCGCTAATGAATTCTCGGCCGCCGGGCGATTTCGGAAACTGCCGCGGGCCGGAAGGGGGGTGGGAGGCGACCGGGCTGGGGAAGGAGTGAAGGAGAGGACACCCACGCACACCCCCTTCCATGGCCAAAGAAGCCATTAGGTATCTGGCGATTGGCTCCGAGGTCCGAATGAGCGCCCCCAGCCCCAGCGCCCCCAACTCCTGCAGGCGCTGGGAGATGCGGAAGGCCGCGCAGCAGGGCTCAGAGGAGGGGCGGCGGGAGGGAGGTCAGCAGCGAGTGTATGTGTGTCCTGTGGTGCGGAGGCCTGTGGGCCAGGAGGGTATTGCGAGTGGGCGCACCTGCTCCGTGAAGCGTGTCCGCGGAGCAGCCTGTGTGCCCCGGCGGGGGTGTGTGTGTGTGTGTGTCCCCGTCCGTCCGTCTGTCCCCCGCAGGGGGAGTCTGCGCGGGGCGTACAATGTTCTTGTTTCTCCCACCATAGCTGTTTGCCGTTTTGCTGTTTTCCTCCTAGTCACGACCTCAGCGAGGGCAGATGGAGCCAGTGGAGGGAGAGAGACAGACGGCAATGCTTGGGTAGCCAGAGCTCCCTACCGGCCCCACTCTTCCTGCAGACACAAGCGCACACACACACACGCAAAACACACACGCTGCCCTTCGCCGCACGAAGCCAAATAAAATACACAAAAAGCAACTGAGCTACCATCGCACATGACCACATGGAAACACACAAATGAACAAACGCACTCAGGCAGAGTCACATGCCAATCACACACAGATGGGAAGACAAGGGCCTGGGGCGCAAAGCCACATGGCAAAAAGCCACCTGGATGTACATGCCCTACACACGAACACAGAAAACACATGCACACTTGAGTACACACCTACCCAGACAAGTGTGCGCACGCACACTCACAGTCTACCTGACACGTCAGTGCATCCTCAGTGGGCCCCAGTTTCTCTCATAGCAATTCAGATCTCGCAGCCTGCCATCAAAACCTGCCCCCTTCCATTCCCCTCTGGGCTGGTTCCTGAATCCAGCTCCTCACTCCAGGCCAGCAAAGCTGTCCCCAGCCTTACTTATGGTTTGCTTACCTGCCTCAGCACCATTAGCCAGAGACACTCCTGCTCTTCTCCTAATCTAGTCCATGCCCTGTTGGGTTTCTCTTTCCACGCCCCTCCTCCCAGCAGCCTTCCCTGATGAACTAACTGGCTTGGATTCTGAATTTGCCCTAGTCATTTGCACTTGTTGATCTCTGCTGTGGTGAATGTCAGAGAGGTAACTTTGCACCTGTAAACATAATGTTGGCAGGGAGGAGGACTGTAAGATCCCCAAGGGCAGGACCACTGTGACCAAATATTTCCATCGGATGCCAGGCCTCATCCCTCCAGTGTGAGGCTGCAAACGCTCCTGGGAACACGACTGCCCAGTTTTGACAGTCGCAAAAATGAAATTGGCCCTCAAGCTGCCACTAGAAGATCTTCTTCTGTCATATCCTACAAGGTTCCCCTTCAGGGTGGCCTTTCAGAGGCACTTTGGGGGAGGGCACACCTCCTCTGTGTCTTCCCATTTCCACCTTCCTTTTAACTGGAAATACTGCTCCCCAGCTGGGGAATCACCTGATTCTCCAGCCTTGATTCCTAACACTTAGCTGTTTTCAGAAATTAGATCTACCCCTAAAGGATACAAATTTGCCTCGGGTGCAGTTGCTCAGAGCTGTACTGCAAGCTCTAAAGGTGATCCCCAAAGAGAAATTGCAGGAATGACCCAGGCAACTGCAGCAGCGGCTGAACCCTGCTATGTTAACGAAGACGGCCTGCATCGAATACGTTCTTTGTACTTAAAGAAAATAACAAGGACATCCTAAAAAAAAAAAAAAAAGAAAGAAAGAAAAAGAAAAACTCATTGACCGACTGCCTCCCCAGCTCACTGCAGGGTTGTTTGATCAGGTAAACATGATGCTGGGTGGATTCCAGCCCAGCAGCTCTGGGTAGATAGGTGCCCTGCCTGCTTTCTCTCCCCGTCTCCCCTTAGTCCGCCTGCCTCTCAGGAGCCCCCTCTCTCCATGCCCCCTCACCTTCCTGCAGTTACAGGCACTGCTCCCTGTCCTTTATACACACCCCCACACACTTTTTGCCTCCATATTATTTCTTGCCTCGTATTTCTTTCTCTGTCTTTCTCCGACTGTCCTCCGCCAATTTCTCTACTTCCTTTTTCAGTATCGCTTCCTCTCCCTCTGATCTCTGCTGGGGCTCTGCCGTTCTTTTTCTTTCTCAGTCTTTCTCTAACTTCCATCTTTCTCTTGTTCTCTCCCCCACACCCCACCATAACTGCTGCAAGTGGTCCATGCAGAGGGAGGGTGTGTGGCTGTCTGGTTCAGCACCAGGCAACTCCGGCATTTTGAAGAGCTTGGGATTGCCATGTTTCTGCTCACCCACATGTAACACACACGTATGGGCCTCCCCTCTCCCCTGAGTCCCAGGCCCTGGAAGGCCAGCAGAGCCCTCAACCCAGCGTCCCCATCTCACCCTCTGCAACCTCTACCTGACCCTTCCTACTGCCTCCCCTCCCCACCCTCACTCTCATTTCCTCTCTCCTTGGAAACCCATCTTCTCCCTCCCTTTCTCTGCCTCCATCCATCTACTGATACACTTCTGGTATATTCTCAGCCCTGGCCCTGGGTCAGTGTGTCTTTGGCTCGGGGTACATGGCTTTCAGTTTCTCCCTGGGCCTGGGTCCCTCTCTGTCAGTGTCTGTGGCTGACTCTGCTGTGGTTGGTCTCTGGATGGCTCTGTCCCTGTGTGAATCTCCAATCTTTCCGTCTGCTCTCTGGATGCTCCTGTGTATCTCCGGTCTCTAGCTCTGCCTCTCCTCTGTCTTTCCCTTTCCACGCGGCAGTGTCTCTGCTCACTTTGTCTCTCTTCATCTCCAGAGTGCCGGGACCCAATCTGCCTCATTGGTCCCACTCTGTTCACCTTGGCTTGAATTTACTGGGTCTTTCTGTCCCTGTCTGTGTGTCCATCTCCCCACTTCTCTGCCTCTTCGCCTGCTCCGCAGTGATGGGAATGGAGTGGGGGGGGGGGCTGGTGCGGAGGGCTTGGAGAGGGAAGGGGGCGGGCGGCCCTTTGTGTGGAAGATTGACGGCCGCACGGTGCAGCCTCCGCAGCGCTGATTAGGATGCAGCTCGGGCTCCGACTGCAGCATTCTCCTCCTCACCGAACATTCTCCACACTCCAAATTGAGGTCCCCTCCCTGCCTGCTCCCCTGGCCTCTCAGGATAATATGGCTTACCCCTGCCCCCAACCCAGTTCCCCTGCTGGGAGCCACCGGAAATTCTGGGAGGGCACCCAAGGGCCCCCTCTCCCACCCAGTTACCTCCATGTCTTGTACATTCTGAGAGAAGGAATGAGCAGAGGTGGGAAGCCGACTGGAGAAGCTTCACTGGAAGGGGGTGTGGGAAGGTGAGAAACTGCTTGGGGGCGTTGTGTCCGCAACCCCAGCCCAGCAGCACCTTGACCCCTCAGCCGCACACGCAGCAACAAGTGCAGGGAGGAGATGTGCAGGTGTCAACACACAGGAAGGGGCAGGAAATACGTGGCGTGCCTCTTTTATCCCCTCGTAACACCTATAGACCTGCCCTGTACATAGTAAGTCCTCAGTAAAATGGTCAGCCCCTGTTTTATCAGTTCTCCCAAAATCAGTGCCTAAATCAGGGAACTCAATTCCTTTAAATATGCCTCCTGACCCATCCCAGCGGCAACTCAGTATCTGGCCCCTGGACAATATCCCGGCCACACCTTCCAAGCACCCCAGTGATCATGAGATCTCAGCTCCAAATCCCAGTCATTCCAGCCAAGGCTACTCCACCATCTGCCTTCTGTCCCTGCCCTTTCCTCTTCCTCTTATTCTTCCTCTTCCTCTCCCTCCCTTGCCCACCCCTATGCAGCTTGGCCCACTGGGTTTCTCCCCCAAAGACAGGCAATCACTAATGAGCGTTGAGTGCAGGGAGGGGAGGGCCAAGGGCAGCCTGGTGGATGGGAGGGGATTCCAGAGCTAGCAAATAACGAGCCGTGTCAGCATCTGTCAAATATGCCATCTCCCTCCATCATCCCTGCCTCCTGCCTCCTGGCTCCTGCCAATTCATCTCCCTGCCGACACTGACGGACTGCGCTCAGGTGCAACTGCCAAGAAGCCCAGACGCACAATGCCTGGTCTGCTCCACGAATGTCACCAGGCCCTGATTTTAAAACAGCCACCCTAGGAATGCAGGGTTGTAGATGAAACCCAAAGAGGAAGAAGAGAAATTGCCCTCTGTTCAATTTCAGCCCCCTGTGCCAAAACCAGAAGTTAAAACTCCAGGCAAAGGTGTAGAGTGTTAAATCTCCGGAAGACCTTCCCTGCTTTGAAGAGGCTGTCGATGCCTCCAACACTAGGGAAACTGATGGGGGAAAGCTGCGGTTAGAAACCCAAGATCGCTACTTGTAATATAAGCAATTTCCACCAGGGGGCGAGGAACGCGGCTCTGCGGAGGAGCAGAATCTTTTCAACAGCGACCTGCGAAGGGCTCAGCGGCCACAGGAGGGCGGCAGAGAACAGAGCTCCCTACAGATCCAGACGTGGGCCCTGGATGCTGTCTGGAATCCACGCAAGGCCAAACTGGGCTACCCCAGGCTGGGGGCATCTTCAGTTCGAGCAAGAACCCATGAATTTCTGAACTCAGGAATCCTTGCATCCCTTCTCAAGCTCTCTAGTCCCTGAAATGCCATACCCTCCCCAGCCTCCCTTCAATTTCTCATTCTCCTAGCGCTGGGGCTGCTGGCACAGAAGGAGCCTGTAGCTTTTCCTTCATGGTAGAGCAGATGACACCCACTCTCCTCCGTGACATTCCCTAGGGTCCCAGCTGATAACTGGAGCCAGAACTAGAACCCATGACTTCTTGGCTCTCAGCACAAGGGTTTTCCCATTCTGTCAGCTGCAGCTCCTGAAATAAAACCATGCCCAACAGGCCACAACCCGACATCATCTCAAATCCGTGGCTTAAACAATCCATGCCAAAGCTACACTGTTCCGCATGTTTACGTGTGTAACTGGTGCACACAAGACTGTTAACCCCGGACACAGATGTGTGCTGAAGCTGCCTGGCTGTGCACCCCTCATCCTCAGGTACTTGGCCCTCTGTCCCTTCTCTTCCTACTTTCTGAACTGCAAAAGAAGCTTCTCTTTATAATTTGGGCTTTTCATGGTAGTTCCAGAAGCTCCTCAAAGCTGTAGACACAGAAGCCTTTTCCCAGCTCTAGCCTTGGTCCATCCTACCACAGCCCGTTACAGCTGGAGGACAGGCCTGGACATGACCCTCAGCCCTCTCTTCCCAGGCATCCCCTCACCTGGTCCCTTCACTGCTTCTCACCTCTCCCGTCCCTCTGCTGACCAACCTATGCCTCCTCCAGATTCTTGCTGCCACTGGTTCTCCTTTCATCTCAAAAACTGAGCCACCCAGGGAGGTGGGCACAGGAAAGAGAAAGGAAGAAAGGTAGGCGGGATTGGGAAGAAAATCTGCCAGAAGAGGACTCTGCCCCTGCCCACTTTACTCTCGGCTGGTAAGTTCTACTTTGAGTCTGACCTTAGTCCTCTGGCTAGTCCTCACTTTATCTACTCTCCTTGAAGCTCAAGAGCTAGAGGAGCTGAAAGTAAATGATGAGAAATGGAACCGATTGTGTCGGAGGTATATGCGCAAGCTTGTGGGCTGACAGGCTGAGTGAGTGTATACACTCGCGTCACACACCACCCCTTCCCATTCGCCCCCGACACACGTACTCCATGCCATCCCCAATCTAGGATTCCTTCTATAAAACAAGGGGAGAAAAGCATCCCAACTTCTCAAACACCTTATTCTAACTTTCACCCTCCAGGGGAAACCTAAAAAGACAACACCCTCCCCGTCTCTTTCCCCCCTCCCCATGCCCTTGCCCACTGTGGTTTTTGAGATTT